CTACTGACAGCAGCATCGCGCTGATCTGGATGGAAAATAACATAGAGCTGCGTATCATCAGCATATGCCATACACTTCACATCATGTGAAGCAATAATGTCAAGCAGTGGAGCTGTAAATAGAATAAATTAAATTGGCCCAACAACCGAGCCATTGCATTAAGTTTTCTTGAAAACTCAGATGAGATTGTGCTAATGGTGCAAATTGTCGGAAAAGGAGTAGGACTAGGCCTAGACAAATACAAGAAGGTGGAATTTGGAAATATAATGTCTGTACAGAGAGTTCTCAATTTTGTCCAAGAGAAATATCCTCATTTTGATATTGACATAAGGAGAATGTGATCACTCCGCAGCTCAAATCATGCCAACAACCACAGTCTTGCTAAAAAAAAAATCACACGATTATTATTGAGGGTGAGCTTATTCAAATTAGAAGGCACTCTTATTCAAACAGGCCGCTTAAGGAAATTTTCAAGTTATTAGGAGCGCTTATTCAAACGGGGCGCTTATTCGCACGAGTTGCCATTTCAAGAGTGACGGACGTTGTATGATAGGTGTAAAGCCTGCGCGTTTTGCAGGCCTATCGGAAATTGTGATAGGTGGAAGCCTACACGTCTTGCAGGCCTATCATGTTAAATTGTATAGTGCAATTTTGGCGAATAAGACTGGTGTTCTGTCGTTCTGCCGTGGTTGCCACAAAAATGTTAAATGACGTAGTTCATGTGTGTGTGACCCAAAGTGACGATAGAAGTCCGGAGACTCTGAAATGGACGTCATCAAGTTACTATCAAAAACCGTTACTGTGCCGTTTGTTTGTTGATTTGGTTTATTGCTCAGTGAAACACTTACTTGCTGTGAGTGTGACTGGTCAATGGTTGTGCTGATAGGACTATTATTATACAAGGTGAAGGAGCAACTACGTGTTGGCACCGATTTGTGTGTTGCGACTCTTATTATTCGTCGGTATGATACAAGCACTGCAAAAAAAGATGGTTTCAATGAGATTTGAAATTGGAGCACTTCTCATAAATAAGCCTGATACTTTGTGACATTCGCGTATTTATATCTGGCTGTTTCAATATAAGTTCGTCTAGACACAGCTATCAAATATAAACCTAAATATAAGTTATGTTTTAAAACATGGTCATTTTGTAGACGTATTATCTGCATACCTTATCATGTTGTTGAAAGTGAAATATATATTATGTAGAAAATATAAGAAAATCTAAAAATAATGAAAATTGTGTTATATATACCACACCTGTTAATGAATGAAAACGAGTGGTGGTATATACTGTCTGATGAATTAAAATTAAATATAAAGAAACTACAATAAAATTGTCTTGGTTCATTTTTGAGGTCTAGTATCTGAGGACAGAATCTAATTACCTTGAACTTGGGCGCTAACTCAATTTAATATCTAAAAGCAAGTTAGCAACTCATTTTCTTAATTGCATGAAAATGATGGACTTTGTTATATCTATTGTATTCATTTTTACTGTGTAAATAATACAAACAATCATTTAATACAACAATGTGTTGTGTAACAATGACTGCCTGGTGTAATACATCAACAATATAGTGAATATTTAACCTTTAAATCTTGGTGTTAAATCTGCAGTCAATGAGTAAAACGTAAGATCAAAGTATTACATAACTATAAATAATAAGTAAAATTCAATAACTGACTAACAATAAATTATATTTAATTTAAACAAACCTTATAATTTGTATTTTCAAATATTTATCTTTATTTCATTTAAAATAAATGTGTATTTAAATATATAGACCAAATTCAGAAATAAGGCATTGCTCATACATAAGATTTGGCAGTTGATATTTAAAGTTTACTTTGTGATCTTCCAATACTTCAAGTGATTGGCTTCAGTATCTATTTGTATTTACAAAGAAGATAAACCCTAAATTATAAAAATGAAAATACTTTTTGAGAGGGGAATATATGTACCTACCTGGTATGTTCCCCAGCTGTATCAGTGCAAAATGACTCTGGAATTTAGGCAATGATGAACCCAATGGTTTTGAGAGCTTTTTTAGCCACAACTTTCCTCGGATTTAACCCAATAATCATTGTGGACTTAGAAAAAGTTGCTACGGCCTTCAAAAAGTAAACTACTGGAATACACTGGTGTTGACATAGGTTTTGCCTCAAGTCTGAATAGCTTCTTGTATCTAACAAAGTAAACAAACACAAAACAAATATAACAACACACTCTCAATTGTCAAGCCTTGTCCACACTATCAAACTTTATTTCTCAAAAATTGTCAGATGACATCATCTCATGACCATATATAGGCACAGCATCACTATATATGGCCATCAATACTTTCAGATGACATCATCTTATGACCATATATAGGCACAGCATCACTATATATGGCCATCAATACTTTCAGATGACATCATCTCATGACCATATATAGGCACAGCATCACTATATATGGCCATCAATACTTCTTTTTCTCAAAGAATATTTGATAATCTGGACAGAGCTTAAGGCTGTGGATGACAGATGACTAGAGTAATGCACCTCTAAGGAGTGTTAATCTAACCTAACAACTGACCAATCAGAAGCTGTTATTCAACAGCCAGGAATACCTGCATGTGTCCACAAACAACCAAGAAGTATGTTTACACTATTTAAGGTCCCACACTACAGCAACAGTATCCAAGGGGTGGAGCTTAGTGGAACGGCCCTATCCTATGCTGGTCACATGATAATAATAATAATAATATTATATTTATATAGCGCATATTGCACATTGCCCCTATGCGCTTTACAGAGAAAATATAGGCCAACTGAGAAAATGTAAATAACAATAAAATAACGATAAAATAAAATAAAAATAATAATCATAATAACAATGAGACTAAACTATTCCTATTACTTATGGTTGGCTGTTGACTCCGAGGAGCTCATCTCATGATCTGTGGCCTTTGGCAAAAGCAGGGTAACTAGATTTCCTCTCTTGCCTAAGGTGGAAGAATATTGATTTTTCCTAAATACTTTGAAACAAGTGTAAAATTCTCGTTACAATTCAAACCCAAATCCCTCCCCCTAGGATCTAGTTGAGGAACATGTGATCTCAGAGTAATGCATAATACGCAATGCTGAATGTACTGTATTGGTCAATTACAAGTGTAAAAATGATATATCTATTATTATATGTACGATAACCATGTCCATAGATATGTACTGTCTGATAAGAAATTAAAAAATTTACACTTATATTTGATAGCACATTAAAGTGTATTAAAATGTTTTACAAACAGTGCATCATCACTTGTACAGCTAATTATGGTATGATGTACTCATGGTGTACTCTTGTGCAAACATGCAGTCGATATTCAAATTATCTGAGGCAGAATTATACAACAATTAGCAATGGTAGTCACTTCTAAATCTTGATGTTAACAGTGATAAATGTGTGAGAATGTGGTGTTATGCAGACCTGGTTATACATGATGAATTTATACATGTGATTCTCAAATATTTGAATAATAAATGCTGAATGTATTCGTCAATTCCAAGTTTTGAAAAGATCTATTCTATTAATACATGATATCTGCACACCTTTGTCTCTAAATGCACTGTCTGATGAGAAATTACAAACAAATATCCTCAGAAATATATTTCAGGGATTAGAATGGCTTGTTTTGAAGGATCAACATTTCATAGTAAAGTGTTATTACAGGCTAAATGCATCAAATGCTTCAACAGACTATTATGGAAAGTGGTGCTCTTGGGCAACCAGTAATCAATTTGGAGGCGTAACTACTAAAAAAAGGAAATCAGTAGATGTTAGTAGTCGTAATGTAAATGCAGACGTGGTGGACATACAGTAGCCTGGGACAATGGTTTAATGTTTGCAGGGTGTTAGCAACAATGGCAACAGTTGACTTATCCAATGAGGTGAGAATAACTCCAGGATGTAAAATCACTAATAAAACAAAAAATGTATTTAATTGCATTTGATACTGCAAGTGCCATCATCAATGGCCAATATCTGCTTGAATTACAGTACACAAAAATAACATAAAAATAAATAAATTTATGTACAAAGGACTCGAGAAGGTTGGTTCTGGGATACTTAATAATAAGCTTGGGTTGCAGTAAAGGTGGGGGAACGAGTATACGGGCTGGAATAGAGAGCTGGGATACCAGAATACACAATCAGTCTGATCACACCGATTTCTGATGAAATGGATGGAAGTCTAGTTTTACCTTACTTTCGATGATCACCATCACCAGACACAGCTGACACAAGCTGCATCACTCCAGGGTTATTTTGCATCATGAAAAAACACAGCACTGATCAGATAAAGGTCACACGATGGGTTAGAAAACAATCATAGTGCTGGTAATTAATAAACTTAACTTCCAATTCCAGGGTCATGGGTTCAAATCATGCAATGCTTGGATTGTGAATCTGAGGTAATGTCGTGGCAAAAAGGCTAAAGTTATCGCACATGCCAGCATAGAGTAAATTACCTATAAAATATTGGAGTTCAAAAATATTTGAAAAAATATCACTGTAAATCAACATAAATACAGGTAAATATCTAATTAATCGTGTCCAAAATTCTTATGCTCGGGAAATGATCAACAAAGCATATCTTTTATATTTTTTGGTAGTTAATTGCATTAAAAAAATGTCTGCATTAATACAGGAAGCTAATTACTAACAATCATCTTTATCTTGACTCCAGTGGTGTGTACCCTCTACTACAGCTTGAATGTTCAATATTAATGGATGACCCCTCATTTAAAAATTACTGTATAAAATGTCTAAAAACAAAACTGATAAATTTTTAGTTTTATTCAACATAGCCATTTTTCCACAACATGCCTCATATGTCAACTCTACTACACCAGGCTTCATACTAAAAGAGTTCTTAAATTTATCAATTTCTACTTTATTCTTACATTATATTTTAAATATTTAAATGTAAAATACTTGTACACACAAAATTCTGTGAGCCATTCTCAGATAATGTCAGTGCCACCAAACTTGTCTGTCAAACTCAAAAGACTGTTTCATACAGCAGAGATACTGACGATATCTGGAGAAAAATATAAAACAAAAATTGTCAACTGAAGAAATAGCATTATTTTATCCATAAAAGTAGGCATTCTATACACAAGAAAACATGTTGCCAGAAAATCTGGATAAATCCGCAAGATAAAACTGACTTTTAAGTGAGAAAATTATAAAATTGTCAGGTGTGAAACTATTTCGATTGCACTATGTATTTTCTTCTTCGATCCTTCTCCTCGATTGAGGGACAACAAATTGAAGCCTTTGGCCTAGGTGAGATGGATGTACTCATTCCTACAACTTACTTTTCCCTTTAAGGTTCCTGTTGTGTCATACCAAGAAGGGCGCTGTCCAGTCCACAATTATAGGGGCTGTGAAATGGTAGTTGCTAAATACAACAGGATCAGCCGAGGGGGGCGTGGCTTGTATGGTGACGTCATGTATAATTATACAGTCTACCTAAAAACTTCACACATGCACCGTGTGGTCAATGCGACGTTAGCGAGCAGGCTGAGGCTTAGTTTTATGCTGCTGCTATGGCCGGGTGATGGACGATCGAGTCCATTTCCGGACGATTGGTCCAATTAGTATGGACGATCATAGGTCTAGCCCATCTAAGCCTGAGCAACTGTAGGTCAGACCAGGAGGCCTCTTCAGAGTCTGAGACCTGTCTGGCCTAGTCCTAGTGCGTGCGTCCAGCAATTTGTACAGTCTGCTACCTAGGCATAATTTACATTAAGTTAGTTAGTCTAGCCTGTAATTTCACTGTTCCCGGTCTAGCCTCTAGGCTACTGAAGAATCTGCACTGAATATGCCCATAATTATTTTTTAATACATAACTTTCATATAATACAAATTACAATTCAGACATTGGAAAATTAATATTAAATTTAAATATTATTAACATACCGTTCCACTGAACCTAGAAAGCAATAAATCTTAACTATAACAGTTATGTTGTAAAAGTTGTAATTTTAATTTACTTAGGCCCAATTTCTCTCTTAAAGATAATTTGTTCATAGGATTAAGATTCTGTTGTAATCGGAAGTAATAAAGATTGCGGCACTCAATCGCAACGGGTAACAATTGTGAAATCGATTACTGATCAACTACTATTGGTGAGCTTTCCAACACGATTTACTTTGCGAATAGGTGCAACAATTGTTACAACCGATCTCGCAATGCGAAGCTAGTCAAGGGGTGGCGCCTCAGATTAAGGGTCAGATTTCCCCGATGAGGGGTCAGATTTCCCCGACGAAAGCAATGTGGGCGTGGTCGAGCTTCCATTAAAAAGTTTCGAAAGTGGTCCAGGGGGAAAATCAACCGATAAAATTAACAATTTACGGGTTTCAAAGGCTTATTAAATCGATTTTAGAGTCTACTACTCCCCCGGCCCCCTCCTGGCGCCACCACGGAGCTAGTCTAAATGGGGTATAAGACGAACTGGAGTTGAAATTATGCATGATTTCATGCATACTGATCGACTACTATGATCGACATACATGCATACTGATCGACTACATGATCGACATACTTCGGCTGAACCCATTGTATTACTACCATTTGAGATGGACCAGAACACTGGAAGTCTGAAAAGATGTACTAGGTCTTTATAGTGTACATGAGCCAATGGTGTACACCAGGACTTCAGTTTTCAGTGGCAGAACTACCTCAGGCTCAGCAGTTTCATTGAACCTGGGTTCCCAAGCTCCAAAGCCCCCGATCTATAAGAGCCCTGCCCCCTTATAAAAATAAATCTAACTAGAGGCACTCGGAGAGTGCATACCACCGCGCCCACATCATAATTCTCCTCAGTATAAATTTCCCCGCATATTTTCCCCATAAAAAAATAATGGAAAAAAAAAAGTATACTACTTGGGATTTGAACCCGGGGGCTGGTAGTGTGGAAAACACTTTACACCAAACCACTACACCAAACTGTTTTCACATATATCACTTTGAAATTAATGGTCATGTTTGTTTACACCT